TTTTAATTATTATGAGCAACCCAAAATCATCAACCATAGTTTTATGCTTTTGTAACGTTATCATCAGTCAATTTTTTCTTTTTCTTTTTTGCAATGCACGCTTGGCCTTGAATCTTATTCAAAGTTACTAATTGAATGTTCTATTTTCATCTCCATAAATAATATTGTCAAAAAACAGATATATTTAGAAAAACAAATTGTCGTCAAAATAATTCCAACTTACGATTTATAACGTCACAAACAATGCATTTCATTTGTTCCTTGTAATGTTAAGTTATATTTGAGGACTGTTCATTTATGAATAAGGATGGTGATTTACCCCGATCCGGTGGGGAACCTGGTTCATCCGACCCGAACGGGGACGGGAATTCCCCGCTAAAACAGGTCTCGGGGCCAGGGATTCCCGATAGACTCAAACCGGGGATGGGGGATGTTAATCAAACCGGGGGCCGGAGACGGGGATCCCCGGTAGAATCAAACTAAATGATATTACTTATGGGGTTTGACCAGGGATTGACCGGGGTTTTACCGGGTTTTGACCGAGGATTGCTAGAGATTTGACCGAGGACGGGATGATAATCCCTATACCTGTCGGGGACTGGGCCAGGGATTACAAAACCCGCCCCATCCCCGCCCCGTTGCCATGCCTATTTATGAATCTAAACTATCATCAATTAAACCCTTGTTTCATGTACTTGACCTCAACCTCAATCAATATTTTGGCCAAAACTTATACAACCAACTCTTTGCTCAATCTATTAATTTCCCCTTAGCCTAAAGGATTCACTGTCAACCACAAATCACTATGCTATAAGCCCAGATACAACATTGAATTCCCAACAACCAACACATTTTTACAATCACATTTGCAATAAAAATATTTAATCAATACATAACCAAGACCAGCCAACAAAGTAATTATAAGTAATCAAGGTATTTCTATATTACAAAAACTATACATTCATGGATCTTTTATTACAAAAAGAAAGCTCTATCGTATATCAATTTCTCAACGACCATTCCAAAACATATTCCAGATTTTCAATACTTATTTTCTAGTTTGCATGAACTATACAAAAAATTACATCTTAAAATTACAAATTGGAAACTAAAATTTTCACATAATAAACATAAATATTAGGCACCGACACAACTCAAGAATCAAAAATACTCAACATAAGGATATGCCTCCTTCAAATGTTTCAACTTAAATTGATGTAAGAAAAACAATTGAAAGAAGCAAAAAAGGACCATATTGAAAAACTTAAAATAGACGGTGAGTCAATACTAAGGCATTGCAGAAATCTAACTTCAACTTTTTGTTTTCTTGCTTTATTGTAAAAGCAATCTGTAGGGCTGTTTGGATTGATAATAAAAGAAGCAATGACCACTTGCGCAACCAAAAGATAACTCATAAAAATCCTGGTATAAGCAAAAAAAAATATCAAGAATTTCATAAAAATAAATCAATCTATAAAAAATATTATTTTAACACATATAAAGCAAGTAAATTAAAGAAAGCCTAAAAGATATTTGCATTAAACATAACTAACCTCAGAAAGCAGAACAATTGCTTAGAGGAGGGAGAAGTGTTAGCGTCTTGTATGTCAAAAACTATGAACATCGACGGTTGTAATTAATGTCGACAGTCATGGTCTTCTTTTATATGCAAGATGGAGAGAACCACATTCATCTTGCACCTTAATAAATTAGTGAAGATCTTTGAACTTTTTCAATTAATTTCATCATGTAATTGCATTATTAAAAGAGAGACTAAACCAAAGGATTTTGACATTTAAAAGGACATATAAATATTAGTAAATAACATAGAATCAAGTGAAAAAAAAGAAAAAAATGCCATAAATTGAGAAAAAAAGAAAGGAGCGATTCTCACATTTAGAAGTTTCCACCTTATTTTTTGTGGTTGTTGTTTTTATATATATAAATAAATGATTGATTGGAAAAGATGAATGGTTTGGAGTTATGTCATTTGAATTAACATAGAAGGAGATGAATGGTTTGAAGTTGAATGCAAATATTTAACAAAAAAACATAAATTGACAAAAAAATATAGTAGTCGATATTGAGAGAATGAAGAAGAAAAAAGAAAAATGAGATTCTAGGCTTTAAGAGAGGCCATCTCAAACACTTATGGTTTTTTTAATATATATATATATATATATATATGGAAAAAAACCATGAGTGTTTGACGTATAATGCTATGGTTATAATTAAACGTATAATATAAAACAATTAAATATATCATGTTTATTTTTACAATAATAATTACGTAAGTGTAACAAACACATCATGAAACATATGTATGTTAAAATTTTAAGTCAGAATTATCAACTTTTTAATTGGTTGAGCTTGGATCTCATGGATTTCACAAGAAGAATATAATTAATAATAAATGAATAAAATATCATAACCTAATATTCATATGGGTTGGGTTTCGATGACAAGGAGAATTAAGATGAAAAGCATAAAACATGATCTACACGTTTGAATGCACATTAGCATGAGATGCATCAGATCAATCACCGTATCAAGTATAATTCATGGATGAGTTTGAGATTAAAGGTGATTAACAATTCAGATCCTTTCTTATGTTTCTTATCTTAACTCTTTTTGTCACATGATATTTCATTGTATTCATATATACAATATATAATGTAATTAAAATATATAAGTAATAAAACAAATATAATTAATATTTGTCTGTAATATAATGTAAATAACGTGTAATAATGTTTCCTCTAAAAAATTATATATTAATATTATTAATTATATTATTTGAATATTCAGTAATTTTATAATTCCAATACATTTTAAGGAAAAATATTTATATATATAATAATTATTCAATTTGATTGGTGAAATGAATAAAAAAAACCTCATTTTTCTTTCTTTTAGAGAGAGTTTTAGAGAATTCTCTATATTTGAAGTTTTTTTATATGTTTCTTTATTTTAAAGAACAAAATAAGGAACCTGTTGGAGTATTATAAAGAACAAAATCTTCATTTTCTTTATTTTAAAGAATTCTCTATAATTTATTAAAAATAGAAAAACAAAAGTCAAAATCTCTAAAAAATTATATTTAATTTCAATAAATTTTCTATTTTGAGATTTAACATTTATTACATTATCAAAATATTTTATATAAAATAATAATAATTTTAATATTATCAGAGAGAACAAATAAAAATCAATTTATCTTTTCATGCAATTTCTTTAAAAAAAATTATGAACGAAAAGTTTTATGTGAGTTATATTTTATTTTAGATAACAATATAAAAAATCTATCGAAACAAAATAGAGAATAAAAACCTTATTTTCCTCTTAAATGTAATTTTTTTAAGATTTTAAGTTTTGGTTAAGGGGTTGTTATTTATACTCGTTTAATGTCAAAATCAGATAAATTCATACATTAAGGTGGCGTTTGTTTTTTAAGAATTGTTGAAGTTTGATTTCATTTCTGATTTATAAGAGGTTGTCCTGAAGTCTAAAATCTGGATCCGTAAGAATTGTTTGTTTTTACATATTAAGTCTGAAATTTGAACCGGTCAAACTAGTGCAAAGATAAATAGTTTTTTTTACAAAAATATAAAAGATAAATAGTTTTTGCTAACAAATCTCTTCCAACTCCCAAAATATGAACCGTATGATAGATGAAGAATTAGGATTAAGAGGTATTAAGGGATACATACCATTTAAAATTTCAGAAGACATTTAGAGCTTTTAAGTTTTAATTTTAAAAATAAAACAAACGTTTTTAATACCCAAACATTTAAACGAATCAAACATTCTGAATAAAAGATAAATTTTAGGGTGTGTTTGGTAGGCAGAACAGGGTGAGACAGGACAGGATAGGACAGAACACATTTGTCCCATGTTTGGTGTGGTTTTATGTGGGACTAACTAGAACAAGGTAGAACACGAGTAGGACATGGTAGTCCACCCTCCCCCCCCCCCCGGAACTAACTAGAACAAAAAACATTTGACCTATCTACCCTCCATCTTCACAACGTCGTCTCCATCTTCACAACGTCGCCTCCATCTTCCACCGTCTCCTTAATCAATCGGCGGCCGTGCAGCCTGGACAGAGTCGTTCCCCTTCACAAATCGACAGCACCAATCGTTCGACCTTTCTCCTTTCTCCATACTCTCAGGTAATCGATCTCTCCTCTCCTTCATCGATCGTTTAGAAGAACCCTGCTGTTTTTCGATTTTGCATAACTCGACAGCAAGTGCAAAAAGTGCCTTTTGAACTTTCGATTTTGTTGTTTTCTACTCGATTTTTCTAATCGATTTTGCTGTTTTCTACTCGATTTTTCTAATCGATTTTGCTGTTTTCTACTCGATTTTGCTGTTTTCTACTTCGATTTGCATAACTATATCTGAAACAGCAAGGACAATGGGTCTATCTACTCAATTTTGGTACTGTTTGCATAACTCGACAGCAAGTGCAATGGGTTTAAAAGTGTTCGATTTTGCTACTGTTTGCATTTCATTAACCATATTCTTTGCTACTGTTTTGCTTGTATRATTTCTATTTTGCTTGGTTGATCTACGGTCTTGTTGGATTCATGGACTGTCTTGAATACCCATCAGTTCTTCAACAATACCCATCTGTTTGTTCACTCCCCAAGCAAAATCCCTCCAATCTTGCTAAGGACAGTAATAAGTTCTTGGGAAACTGTTTTGCATATGTTTTAACTTAGTACAAAAGCAAAATAACGTTGGGGTAAATTGGTCATTTTAATCAGGTATGTCCTGTCCTGTCATGTCTTACCAAATGTTGAACAGCTGTCCTGTCCTGTCCCGTCCATCAGTCCGTCCGTAAACGGACCCTTAATGTCATAGATAGAAGTGGATTTATTAGTCTCCTCCTTTAGTTATGTATAAAGATCAGATAACGCGAGATCAGAGAGTAAAAAGTAAAAAGGTAGTTTCTTATCTTACCATGGAAGCCTCTCTTTCTCTCATTCACACACTCTGAGGTTTCAAGAACTCTGACGGATTCATCTCTAGGGCACAACCACTAAATTATCCAACTCTCGGATGATGCAATAATCACCCGCACATACTCTTCAGATTCTCATTTCATCTCAATTATGCAATAATCATCTGCCTCCGTCATCGATTTTGTTCCAAGGTACTCCTCTTTCCATTTTAGGGTTCTTCAAATTTACATTTTATTGATGATTCATGTATTCATTGCAAATCAGGGGAGGAATTTGACGATCGAATACTGTGGGATAAAGGTCGGAATTGATTATCTGGGGAAATTTGGATCCCCATTTCTTATGTACTCTCTTTACATAAAATTAGGTTTAGGTTAGGGAAGTTTGTATGTTTGATTTAGGTTGAATTAGTTGCTTTCTCGTGTATATTTATCCAACGCTAAAATTTCATCACCTTTTGAAATGATTGATAATAGCGATAAATCATTGTTGTTTACAAAGTGATCAGTTTTTTGTGGTGGCAGATTAGCCACTTGAAAGACTGGAAGTTTAGAATGATAATAACTCCATTCTGGAAACTAGATATAGATGTTGGCTTTTACATTCGAAGTATCTGCTTTTTGCATCCCTAATTGACATGAATAAGTAGAAAGTAGAAGGTCTTGCAAGCCTGGGTCTTCATGAAACAATCTCTCTACCTACATACTACTACCCAAACCCTACCTTTGGGTCTTCAGGGAATCAGTCTCTCCACCCCCTGGGATATAGGCAAATTTTGTGTACATCCTACCTCCCAAACCCTAGCTCTTGGGTCTTCAGGAAACAGTCTCTTTACCCCTTTGGTTAGACCTTGTACATCCTACCTTCCCAACCCTACCTCTTGGGTCTTCATGAAATAACCTTTCCGCCCTTGGTGTAGAGGCAAGGTCTGCATACATCATACCTCCCAAACGCTACTTCTTGGGGTCTTCAGGGGAACAATCTCTGATCCCTTGGAATAGAGGCAAGGTCTGCATACATCCTACCTTTTCAAGGGATTTACTGGTTCCGTTTGGTTTGGTTTGGTTTGGTTTGTAGAAAGTAGAAGAGCGATTTTGGTTTCTGTAAGCAAAGCATGTTAAGTTTCTTGTAGACGTGTAGGTTAGTAGATTGTGACATGGCCATAGCTAATGCATGTGTTTTCCACTTGCTTCTGTTAGGTGTTATGGTTGCAACTCCTCCGTCACAGAACCCATCCATGTCGAGTGTATAGAACGTAAAACTCGTCATTTATCATGTATGCTATGCTACAATTACTTTGTTCACTGAGCCCTGTAGTTTTCTTTTGCGATATTTTTACTCACGTTCTCTATAAAGATCAATGAAAACACATGCACATGTGATGTTTCTCTTATGGACTGCTTTTGTGATCGATGAGACGATGACTAAAGGTGGATGGTTATATAAATCTCCTTGAGAGGGAAAGAAACAATGTTTCCTTGTAAATAGCCGTCTTATTTGGTTAGTAGGCACATGAAGTTTATGTGATTCCTCTTTTGTAGATCGATATATTCCAAGGAGAAAAAAGCAACATATTTAGTGCGCCTTTTTCCTTTCCACGGTTTAAATGAAGTAATCCTTCAATTTATTTTTATATTCATAAAAAATTATCCTGTGTACATGGTAAATTTCTTGGCTTCCTCGGCGCTTGCTTGCCTTGGATCCTTGATATGATGATTGATATTTGGGATAGTAGCAGTTTTCATATGGCAGTATTGTTTTCCTTTTTGTCTGTGTTAAGTGGAACTTTAAGTTGTTCCAGATTGAAATATTGATACTTAAAACATGTGACTGTTGGCATAAGAAGTCTAGGCCTTTTTTGAAAACCATAAGTTAGCTTATTTTTTGAGTTAATTGAAAAACCCCATTTGGTTTGCCATAAGTAGCGTTCCAGTAAGCTCAAGGGTCTTTTTCCACTTTTTCCCAATTATGCCCCTTATATTTATCCAGTTGATTTTTCTACATGTCCTTGTAGGTCATTTACATTGTTAATCTAATTTATCAGCTACTTTTTACATGACTAGTTTATTAGCTAGTTTGCCAAACATAGTCCTTAACGTGTCAAGAAAGAATTGTCACCGCAGGTTTGGTTAGGGAACCACATACAGTTTTCATATGGATAAGGACTACAAAGATTTAATGTCGGCACTGTCAAAATAGATGGTTTAGAAGAATTTCATGCGGGAGCAATGTAGTAATGGAATTGAATGGTCTAAATTCAACAAGGCACAACCACATATTAAGATTTTATGTATGTCATGTTCATTATTCTTTCCTTCCTTAATCTGCAGACATGGATGGCAGATTATCTGTTGAACCTTTTGATCCACCAGGGATGTGTGCTGTATGCCATAGAACACTTTCATCCGAGAATGATCCTATTGACCTTCAAGCTATCGGTATCTGTGGAGATTGTAAGTTTTTGTTTCTTGAAGATAGTGGCACCCCATCACAGGACATTCAACAAAGGGTTCCTAGAGTAAGACGAACAAGATACACCAACAGTTCAGAATCAATCGAAAACATGTTTTCAAACCAGTTTTCAGCTATGATCAATCTGGCCAGACGCAGCCAGCCTGCTGTTTCCGAGCTCGATAATCAGTCCGTGGATAGTGTGCAGCGTACAAGTTCTCGTACAACTCCTAGTGGATCGAGAAGATGGAGGAGAGTTCTTTCTGATACTGAAAGTGATGGTTTTGACTCTGTTTATGGTGAGAGTGATGCCATCTCTTATGGGGCTTACGGAGGTGATTCGGATGCTTCTGTGGATATTCCTAGTTTTCTTGGCGACAGTGATACTGATATTGACCCTATGCACGCTGGTTTAAACCAGTGGAGCTCGGATGATGAAGAAGATGATGAATGGGAAGAGGTTGAACCTGGTGAAAACACACTTGGATCTTTGATAGCTAGAGTTCAACTCCAGAGATCATTGGAATCCAATGGACAAAATCCTGCCATCAACTGGCAAACGGAGACGTACTCTTCCGAGATTGAGGGTGGAGTTCGTGTTAGAATCAGGGAAGGAAGACACGTTCATATTCCGAACCCATTTGGTACCATGGAGGACCAAGAAAGATCGCCTTTTGTGGGACATTCTGGGGACTATCTCGATGCTAGAAGCTTTGAAGAACTGGTGGAGCGGTTAGCTGAGGCTGATAGTTCAAGGCGGGGAGCACCGCCTGCGGCGGTTTCAGTTGTGAATAATCTTGACCGTGTGGTGGTTAATGATGGGGACCATAATGGTTCAGCGTGTGCCATTTGTAAGGACTTGCTGTCTGTTGGTACTGTGGTGAACCGACTCCCTTGCCTTCATCTTTACCACCCGTCGTGCATCAAACCATGGTTGAGTGCACGTAATTCTTGCCCACTGTGTCGGTACGAGCTTCCAACCGATGATATGGACTATGAGAACCAGAAACAAAATGGATCGAGGGTTCAAGAAACAGAACAGCTGGATGAGGATGCCATTTTTGAAGAGTATGAAGCTCCGGAAGTTGTGAATGATGGTGGTGGAAGAGGAACAGGTGGTGGACGGTGGTTGTTTGTGGCAGCACCGATTGTGACACTAGTGGGCGTGGCTCTTGCTTTGTGGTTAGGCAACCGTGGCGCCATTCGGAGTTCAGGTTCCTGCACTTCTGGTCAAAGGGGCCATAGAAGCAGGAGGTGGTGGTCTCTGTTTTAGTTTGGCTGAGTTGTGGGACTAATAAAATGATAATAATAAACTGGTGGAATTGGTTTTCTTGTTCTGTTTTTTGTTTATGGTGGTTACTTTGAGCTTAACATTTGTATAGAATTTTGCTTGTCATTCGGCGGACGTCCGTATCTTGATGATATGTTGACTCATTAATACATGTTCTGGATTTTGTTACTTTTGGAATTCAGTTGTTGTCTAGGGATGTGCTTCGAGTATCAAATAAAGTTTAAACTTGATCAAAACCAAAATTTGTTTTAATTGTCGTTCTTCCTTAACATTCTCTATATTAACAAATGCGCTTGCCAGGAGGCAAGCCCGAGTAGGTCGGACTTTTTCTAGTCAGACTTTAACAAGCCTTGAAAAAATCAAGCTTTTTAAGGCTAGGTCTAGGCTTAGGCTCGGGCTTTTACTAGGCCCGAGCTCTTTTCGGTTAATAATATTGAATGCTAAACAACGATGATCTTAACCATACACATCTATAAGCTTTATCTAAAAAGGTGACTTCTTATAAAAAGATTTCATATGGTATTTGTAAAACAATTAACAATATATTTTTGGATAAATATTAGATGAAAACAAATTCCTAAAACCATTTGGAGATGCAGAATGTGTTGGTTTCCAATCAAACATTACATATAAAAAACACCATCATCCATGACCAAGTACCAATGAAAGGCTCTATCATGCATCTCTATCTCCTCTCTATGTGAATTACTATGAACAAATATAAACATATGAATCATCGTCTCATACTTGGCAAGATTTTGATTCTTGAAACAAACTCAAACGGCCTGCTGCTGCATCTTATGCTGTTATCTCCACATCTATTTCCATTTGAGAAAGAAAGTCTAGAAGAGGATGTTGAGATACAAAACAATCCAACCTGCCATTGAGATGATTGCAAAGATATGAACCCAGAACAAGATGGCTGCAGCCTCCCTCCCACACCCTCGTAAACTGGCAACAGCACCTGCATACGTATGTATATACACACACATAAGAAAAAAGGTTTCATCTTTCTTGCAGCAAAAAATCCATCAACTGTATGGTGGTTAATTACCTGATAAAACAGATGTGGGCATTGAATGTTGTAGAAGAAGGATGAATCTGAACATTTTATCGTCGGGTGGAAGCAATCCAAGTTTGTCAGCCAATGTCACGATGCCTAATCCTGCTGGTGGAACCAAAACTAATCGACCAAAAATAATTGCAGCAGTCGTCTTTAATCCTAGTTTTGAACTCCCAGGTCCTGCATTTAATGTTCCAAAACCAGACTTTTCAATGCACAACTTCAAATTGACAACGATATCTAGGATTCAGGAAAAGGATATGACAGCTACATTTAGTTTTTCCTGCTTTTCACAACACTTCTATGCCAATCTCAGTTTTTCCTGCTTTTATTGTAGGTTAGTCTTAGGGCCTGTTTGTTGGTAGCTTAATGAGCTTAATGGGACTCACAACTTATTCGGTTAGCTATACATGACTGTTTGGTAATGGCTTAATAATATAGAAAGTGGCTTATTCAATAAGCTTCTAAGGAAAGTTTTATGTAGAAAGCCAAATTTTTTCCAGACCTGCCTTCCTCAATTAAAAATCAGGCTCCTACCATCTATGAAAAACCCTCCCAAACAAAAATCTTCCAAATCTATACAGACAACTTTATCCATATAGAACTTCATGGAAAACCAACCAAATAGCCCTCTTACTTTTGGTAGTTGTTAATACTGCGCCTTTTTAATCCTATCTAATTCCATATCATGTCATTGCTGCTTCTTTTGTTCACTATCTCTGCTACTTGTTTGCATACACTCCTTTGCTACTTCCCTCACATATCTTCTTGTATTTTTGTTTTTGTTTTGCAAGCCAGGGACTTTCACCGAAGCAGTCTCTCTACCCTTTGGGATAAAAGCAAGGTCTATGAACATCTTAACCCCCCCCCCCCTACCCTATCTGTGTGTGCCTGTGCGGAATATACTGGGTGCATTTGGTTTGGTTTTATTTGATAACTACATTAATCTCGCATAATATACTACTCCTTGCATAAAAGAAAGTTCAGTGTAAAGCTTGCAAACCTCCCCTCCCTCCCCTTTACCAATTTCGATAATCTGAAGTGATAGTTTTGGACAAACTTCTCTTGTTTCGGTTTGCAGGCAGCAAGTTTCAGAAAAAAGTGAACTTACCATCCGTCAAATTCCCGCCTAATGCCAACAAAATGCAAGGAATCATAGCATCCCTGATACAAGAAAAAGAAGAAGAGAATTTACTCATTTTTATATTCCATAAATCATCAGTCATCACTACATTACAACAAGGATGGCAACAAGAAGACTTGTGAGTTGAAACTTTGTATCAGAATTAGATGAAAAATAACATGAGTAGAGGTTCTTGAAGAAATGGATGTGAAATCCATCATCATTCGTACGTAGGTTTGCCAAGAAGTTCTGGTCGATAACTGGAAAATAAAGGCTAGGCCCATAGGATCAGTTGAGGTGAACAAGCTGGCCCGCACACCCACACTTACCCAAAAGAAGTAACATAAGTGAAGAGACGACGATGAAAGTAAACATACCCAAGAATCAAGCAACTGTCAGTGAAGAAGTAGAGTGGTGCATCAGGTGTAAAGATCAACCGTTTCAAAAATGGGATAGTTCCTATCACGAGAGCTAGTATCTGCAACAAAACAAGATCAAGGGAATAACATGTTTTAAATATTAAATGATTTGAAATGGCAATTTCCCACATTGAACTATCACACAAATAAGCAAGTACTCACAGATGCAATGATAGGGGGTTGAAGTATTTGCTTCAGCTTCAACTTCTCATACAGAAACTTCATGAATACTTTTATCTGCATAAAACACCATGAAAGGTAAAAAAAAAGACCAAAATGCCCAAGTGTTCAGAGGGTCAAAACACAAGTTATTTCATTTGATTGGTTTCTCACCTTGCCATCTTTGGGAGGATCTTGATCTATCGTTTCAGGCTCCTGAGTGAGCAAGGGAACTTCTTCCGGGGGGCTGCTGCCCTTCGGAGTGTTTTTGATGGGAAGTTTACTATCTTCAATGTCAAAAGAACCTCCGGGAGGAGGTGCAAGCATTTGAAATACATATGTGTATAGAACAATTGCACCTACCTGAATACATCAACCAATTTTAAGGGTGTTGTTAGTAATTAACCAACCACAAAAGACTCATACTAAGTGTAAATATCAAACCCATGATATCCCACCCGGAGGTAAGGTTTGGAAATCTCTATCTCGAGAGACAGGCTATTTCTTGCAAAGGAAAAAGATTAAGTACATAAAACTAAATACAAGTGATTGAGCTTAGAATGATGAAATCAGTAATAAATATTAGCTTACCCACTGCCCAAAGGAAATGTAGGCATTTCCATCTTGAGTACATTTAGCAGAATCACCAAAAGGGTTTGATTTATCTCGACATAAAGCTGCAATCAGGACAAGTGGTACGTTCCCGATATTCCCTACAAAGAAGTAGTTCCAATAACATCAAGATAAACTTTGATTTGTTCCGTCACATCTATATACCCTTTGAAACAGACTTATTGGATATAAATGGTTGATTTTCTATAGTCTCCAAGCACCCAAATACCTTCCATCAGAGGGTGCGAAACATGCAACAGATATAAGTGATAAATCTTCACTAATTTCAGCATATATTACAAAGGATAACGAGTGGAAGATCTTTGGTCGTCTTGGAAAGAACCCCAGATGATGGATGATCGAAATTAATGTATATAACATAAAACAAACCAAAGAAACCCAGTATGTCCCACCCAGAGGTGGGACCTGTGTCTGTGGGGTGGGATTTGTGCAGACCTGATCTCTACTCCAAAAGGAGACCTGATCTCTACTCCAAAGGATATAATATTTTCTGACAGTTGAGGGAACTCAAAGATCTATACATGAAAGAAACTAATGAGAATTAGAGAAACTTACCAATGCCAATGTGAACAATGGTAAATTTGAAGTATGGGTATGGTGGACGGACAATGCATGCAACCAGTAACCCTACAAGGGAACCAGATATGGTAGCCAACACAACGTTAAAAGGAATAAACCACCTGTAAAACAGTAACTTTATTATTATTACCGGCATTTATAGTGTAATTTTAATCCAAGTAATCAACTAAATGCAAATCTCACCATTCGATCATTTTTTCAAACGTGATGGCTTGTCCAAGTTGAGAGAATATCAAGCATGGAAGCAGAAGCGAAAATACCAACTGGATCAAATACAATCTATCAGTTTATGCCACAAATTAGGGTTAAATATATACAAAGTATGATAAAGATTACTCAATCCTAATACTCCTAAAAGTATTTCAATATAACTTAATCATTCTATATCATGTTAAAAGTTCATAAAGAGAACGGAGCTCATGGTCCTACAACAAATTTGGAAGATCGGTCATATTTTTACTTCGTGTACAGCACAACAAATTTCCAAATATATGTTAATTTGATTAATGATACCTGAAAGAAGTAAGGCAATAAAAATAGAAATAAAATGAAAATTTAGCTCTTTTGGACAACTATGCTAAGTATGGAGTTCCAAATATGTGAGCTGATGACAGAAATAGAAAGAACAATGTATAGAGTGGGAAAGTATCTGTAACTATTTAAGAACCGTAAATATTTTGACAACTATAAGAACCAACTAGTTATTCATGATGAATATGCCGAAATATTCATGAATATCATGCATTTCACTATTCATGGTATTCATCATGAATAACTACCATGATATTCATTATGAATAATTCATATATAATTGTTCTCACCGTTCTCAAAATACTTACGGTTCTCAGATGAACATTCCCCTTATGTAGAGAAAGATAACTCAGCCATGCTCATTAATCAATTAGATAACACTGGAGTAACCCACAGGCATACAATCAGAAGCAATAATTGTTTCAAACCAGCATCGGATTTGTACTCTTAACGCTACTCGAATTTACACAATTTTGAGTTGCTTTGTTACTTTTTCATGCTCATTAATTAACTAAACATGGAAACACATAACAGAACTATAGATGCACCACACCTTTCAGAGCTAAAGAGATTAAACAGCAACCAAAAGCATAGATTCACTATGCCATCTGATCATAAAATATCTTCAACTAAATGCAAACCAATAGTTCGATTGAAAACTGTTTTCTGTTTAGAAGTCAATCACAGTTGCAAAAGAAAGAGAAGGAGTTCCAATAGTTACCCCATTCAAAAGCTTCCTTCCACTTGCAGGCAAAATGTTAACATATTTGGATGCCATCAGAAACCCCAAGAAACACATGGTGAATACTTTGGCTATGGGTAGAACCGCAATCTTGATCGAACCAAACAGCGACTCTCCTCCCCCTTGGGTATCCATCAAAATCTCTGATAACAACCTATGCATTTTTATAGATGTTCAAACCCTAAACATCCAAATTTTTCTCAATCAACTTGAGCAGGAAGGAAGAAGGTTGGCAATTCTGATCCAAATAAGTTTGTTGGAAGCCAACCTTCCGAATTCTCCTCAAATCTTTGACTCTGCAGTCCAAATTCAAGAAAACATATATGTCAAACTAAAGCAAAAAAGTCAAAATCTTTGAAGTCAAGATTACTCCATAATCAATCCAGCTTTAAAGAACCTTCTTGCAACCCAAAAACATCATCCCAGATTTTGAAACAATAAAGGGAGAGAGAGAGACTGTTTTTTATCAGAAAATATGATATTGATAAAGTTTTATCCAATCGAGGAAAAACATATATAAATGCCCATAAAATCCGCAAACGTAAACAATCTGAAAAACTATTCCATTTAGCTTTACGATTGAAAAAAGAGCATAAAATCGAGTAGATAAAACGCAATAAAGTTATCTTAAACTGCAAATTACAGTAACAAATCTAGAAAATATCGTAAAACCCAGATGACAATCGATATGATACAACATGAAGAACACAAAATTGCATTCATCCATGCAAATCAAACAACTCCCACCTACCGAATTGAGAATGGGCTTGATTCAACATCGAATATCAAAAGAATTACACAGATAGAAAGCGAAGAAAAGAGAGGAAAAGGGATGCGGGAGGAAACTTTTACCTATTGGCCAATTTGATCGCTTTTGATGCTTGTTGAAATTACTGTAAAATACTCCCACCACTTGGGAATATAAACCTAAAAATTAAACAGGGTTTGAATCGAATTGATGCTGCTTATCTCTATCATCAATATTCGCTTATCTGCCCGACAAAACAGAATTATAGTTTCTGTGAAGTAGGATAATAATTTGATATGATAACTGATTCTTGGTTTTCATAAAAACGACCTAACTTTCAGGTGAAGAATCATATTGAAGACAAGACTCCTATTTCAAATTTAAAAAAAGAAAAGGAGATCGCAACAATTCCCAATCGGACTCTGTTAGTTGCTTTTCCATCTTCTTTACCAAAACTGTTCCGTCTATAACGTGGCAATTTTACCGACCTGAAAATGCTTCAATTTTCATTAACTACCCTTTAATTATAGAAGATGTTTCAAACATACCCTTTAACTTTGAAAGGTATGTGGAATATTCTCCCTCTTGAACTTTGAGAGTGGTTGGATTGGAGGTAATCTCGGATTTGTTTTTGTGTTCCTAAGAATCAATAATATTATAAATCATTTGATAAAAAAATTTAAAAACTATTTTTTATGTATGAAATACTATGTATTAATGCATATTACTTAAAATTTAAAATTACAAGTAAATTGTGTGTAAGTACAACTTATTAAAGTTTTATTTTTGAATTCGTATAACTAACTGCAGATAGACATAATCAAATACAAGATAAATATCTCATTTTAAATATAAAAAATTTAAAATATAATTAAGATAATAATTAAGTTTTAACAGAATCATTATCTTTATAAAAATTATATTGTTAAACCAAAAATAAATTACTTTGCTATTAGACCTAAATTATAATATAAAAAAATAAATTAAATAAATTGTAAAAAAAAGAAAATTTTTAAATAGTTAATTTGGTATTAATATTGATATATTTTTTTCAAATCTATTTTTATTCAAAAATAAAAACATTATCTTTATCGGAACCACATAAACCGTATTATATCAATAGAAACAAAAAATAAAACGAAACATTAAAATGAAAATGTATCCCGCTGTATTGCTCGAGTACCCTTCTAGTATTATAAAACATCTGGCAAAAATTCTTAAAAATCATTCTTTATGCATGAATTACTGTGTGTTATAAAATCTAAGATTACAAGTAAATTGTACGTAAGTACAACTTATTAAAGTTTCATGTTTGAATTCGTGTAACTAACTGCAGATAAACATGATCAAATACAGGATAAACATCTCATTTTGAATATAAATAAATCTAAAATATAATTAAGATAATCATTGAATTTTAACAAAATACTTAATCATTATTCTTATAAAAAAATTATATTATTAAATCAAAAATAAATTACTTCATTACTAAATTTAAATTAAATTATAATAAAAAAATGAATTAAAGAAATTACAAAAAAAAAAACTTTTAAATGGTTAATTTGTTACTAATATTGATATATTTACTTTCGAAATTTTATGATATCTTCAAATTTATATTTTATTCAAAAACAAAAACATTATCCTTTTCTCATAACCACATAAAAACCATATTAAAACATCTACAGAGACGGAATAAAACAGAACACAAATATCGAGATATATCTTGTTACATTGCGCAAGTACCATTCTAGTATATTTTAAAGCAGTTGGAGAAAACTTTTAAAAATTATTTTTTTATAAATCAAGTATTACTTATTAATTCATATTACTTAAAATTCAAAATTACAAGTTGATTAAGTATAATTACAACTTATTAAAACTTCATATTTGAATTAATGTAACTAACTGTAGATAAACATAATAAATACTAGATAAATCATACCAGATGAATCACTTATTTTTATCTAAAATATCTAAAAATTTAAACTATTCATATAACTAATAGATAAACACAAGAAAATCCAAGATAAAACACTTCATATTTATTTTTTATTAATAAAGTGTATTATCTCTTTAATTTTAAATATTAAATATCTTAAATGTAGTTATCATTTGAATTAAATGATCTTTGAGTTATAACTAAACTAGAAGCGTACTCGCGCAATGCAGCGAGATATATCGTGATTTTAATATTTCATTTTATTCTTTATCTCAGTCGATGTTATAATATGGCTCTATGTGATTTTAAGAAAACGATGATATTTTTATTTTTGAATAAAATATATGTTTGAATATATCATAAAAATTTGACAAAAATATATCGATATTAATATCAAATTAACTATTTGAAATTCTTCATTTTTTGTGTAATTTTTAATTCAATTTTTTATAATTTAATTTATAAACAATAACGAAGTAATTTATATTTGGTTTAATAATATAATTTTTTTATAAAGATAATAATTATTTATTTTGTTGGAACTCGATAATTATTCTAATTATA